CTATTTAGCCCGAATTCCCATAAATTATGGCCGACCTGACAAGGTAAAGTACAGCTGAAAAGTTCGGCTCTGTATCGCTAGCATCAACAGGTCACCGCAGCGGTGGAGGCAGACCTTTTGACGACTAGGAACATCTCGAGGAGACAGTGCTTGGGTAACGAGGCATTGGCAAAACACGCCTTATTCCCCTTTGGCAAAGGGTGCCCTTGTCCCAATTGCTTTGAGTCCATTTGGCCTGCAGAAACGCAGTGCTCTTTAAACTTTCCGATCGCGGAAAGGACACGAGCCAATTATTTTCAGTTTTGGTAAGCTCCTCAAGGCGCATGCCACACGCAAACGGTAACAGACTCCTGCCTCAAACACTACACTGGACACTACATGACGTGTCAGTTTTCGATCGACATGAAGCGCATGTTCCCGCAGCTTCCCGTCGATCTCATGATCCTGAGAATACTCGAATTCACTGGAATAGACCAAGAAGCTCTTTACGTGTGGCGTTCCATCTTGTTTACGGCGCTTGACCTGACTGACATGACAGGTGTAGTGGCCGCAGTGCGGCACGTGACTTGACCGGTTGCTCGGGCTGTGCTCTGAGGAGCGCCCGGTCGTCGTCAAGCCGAGGTGAGAGCACCGCGCGCCAGCCGCACCCCTGCACGTCAGGACGGGACCGTCTGCCGGAGGGGCCGCCTGGCACGTGACCAGCGGCGCCGGCCACCCGTCCCGATGAATAACCGACGGACGTCTCATCAATGCTGATGGTGCGATAGCTGCCAACTGCGCTGGCCGCCGGACCGGCTGGTCAGCCGGCGGCTCAGCCTCCCGCCGGACAACGGCGCGCGCTCAGGTCACCCGCGCCGACGCTCTCGCGGGGGGGGGGGGGCCTCAGCCTCACGCCGGACACGGGCGCGCTCAGGTCACCCGCGCCGACGCCTCTCGCGGGGGGGGGGGCCTCAGCCTCACGCCGGACACGGGCGCGCGCTCAGGTCACCCGCGCCGACCGCCTCTCGCGGGGGGGGGCCTCAGTCTCACGCCGGACACGGCGCGCTCAGGTCACCCGCGCCGACGCCTCTCGCGGGGGGGGGCCTCAGCCTCACGCCGGACACGGGGCGCGCTCAGTCAACCCGCGCCGACGCCTCTCGCGGGGGGGGCCTCAGCCTCACGCCGGACACGGCGCGCGCTCAGGTCACCCGCGCCGACGCCTCTCGCGGGGGGGGGGGCCTCAGCCTCCCGCCGGAACACGGGCGCGCTTAGGTCACCCGTGCCGACGCCTCGTGCGGGGGGCGGGACGGCTCAGCCTCACGCCGGACACGGCGCGCGCTCAGGTCACCCGTTCCGACGACCGACGACCGTCCGAGTGCCCGTTTGGGCGCGACGACCGAGTGTTGGTTAGTGAAACTCACGGGAATCAACACGTGCCCGGTTTGGCGGATTGAATGCGACACGCTCGGGTGGAGGTCAATTTGACAAGTTCCTGAGATCTCAAGACGCTTACAGAGTTAGACACCAAATTTAGAGCGTAGACAGTCATGTATCTGGACTCAGTTGTGTCAAGATATACCTGGGAAAGACCCAGTCAATAGATTTGGAAATTATGATGACCTAGCCAATGACCTAGAAAGTGACAAAGGTCATGATGACCCTTGTGCTAAATAACGTCAAAAAAGGTCGAGCTCCGCAGCAATGCCCGAAGTGTCCTTAAAGCTTCTCATGCAACCACATTTAACCTAGGTGCATCTTCTAAGCAAAACGGCATATACATTCACAGACGAAGCATCTCAGAGCTTCCATGCAACCATCTTAATCCTAAATACCTCTTTCAAGCAAAAAACCACCGCCGTGTGTTTCAAGTCAGTGCCATGTTTTGACCTTGCAAGGTCACGATGACCAAAAATGTACGACATTGTTTTGATTTTGAACGTAAATAGGCATCAAGGGTTACGCTAGCCGGCATGTTCCTGAACGCAAAAGACTGATGGGATTATTTTAGGCTAGTGACCTCCTCTGACCTTCATGAAGCCCGATGACACATCACAGCTGACGTCACTGTGATCACAGAATTCGAAATGAGTGCCAAAAAACCACCTCGTTAGCAAGTTTTTCAGTATAGGTGCATTTGGTTTTGACCTCGATCTGTCCTTCATACCTTGCCCAAGATGAATTGAATTGGACATTTTCTTAAATTCAATGCCGTGATTGTCTGAGGACTGTCACAAATATGTATGATTGTTTAACACCTCGTTGCCGCATCATATTGAACGATTTCCTGTAAATTGTCTGCGCTGACAGCCATGAATTTCATCTGCATTAGGTCAGCGAAATTAAAAGGCACATTTAATATATTGTTCTAAATGATTGTCCATTCCATTGCCTATAGCTATACAAGATTTGGTGCGGCTACGCCATTTCGAAAGTTCTTCTGGAAATATCTTCGGGGGTCAAATGACCCCCTACCCGAGCCCGCGTTAACCTTGAAAAGATGGGGGGTGATGCGTGAAATTGAAAACACGGCACTTCACTGAGCTGGGTCTTCTATTGGTTTATATGTGCGGTGCTGGCAACAGTCGTGGCAGCAGCCGTCAAAAAGCGGCGAAACACTCATAACACTGCTTGGAAACTTGGAACTTAAAGACATCCGTAACGCCATTGTCAAGCACAATCCAACTATTTACATCTCTGTAAACCGTACATTTAATCATAAAACCTGTCCATATCGGCACGATGATAGTCTTCACGATTTAAGCTTCTTCCAGACCTCATGTTTGTTTGGCTTTGCCAGAGCTGTTGACTGCCCGTTTAAGTGTTGACGCTTCGCTATTTTTACGTTCCGTCGATTTAATGCCGCTAACTATGGCCGAGGTTAGATGCCCGGGATTCGCGCTTGGCTGGCAGCATACCAATGTATTCTCGCGAACCCAGGCGGTTAAAAATATAACTTGGTTTATTTTGAGCACGTCAGAATGACGTTCATAGCTATTGGAGGCTTTCAGCATGCAATGAATCTCGGAATGTTTCTGTTCGTTGACATTTGTCCTACGCCGTGAAGTGGAATTCGTGGCTATTTTTTCGCCTGTCAAGTGCACGGTTTATTTGGACGTGCGGCTTTGGAACAGCCATGCATTTGTTTCCCTGTTGTTTCTATGTTTCCACTTGTCGAAAATACGTTAGGCTGCTAATTATTTGCGTACCCCGTCCGTTTGTCACAGCTGGCAGCAGGGTATGTCAGTGCCTCAGGCTAAACACCGGCACTGGCCAATGTACATCATTACTACCTGCATGGCGTATCATCGATCAGCCGTCTGTTTGGCTTCTGCGCTCCCAGACAGCCGGGGCCCGACAAGCTCCAGGTCTGTCTGCAGATTCACTGCATCGTCCGCCGTCATCATCATTAGCCCCTCCCAGGCGTCGTTCTGCTGCTCCCCGTCGGTCTTGCTCGTCCGGACCGTTCCAATGCCCACCACTTATCAGGCGTTTCGCTCCAGATCCGGTCTCTTCTTCTTGCTTCTCTCTGGCTCTGCTCGTTTGAAGAGTTTCGCCTTCCACCACTAGTGCTGGCGTATCAGGGGAAGGGGGAGGAGGAGGAGACAGCAAGGGCAGACTACCCCTCCCCATCTTTTGAGGTGGGGGCAAAAAATATTATTGCGCCCCCGCCGAGACTTTCAGGTAGCCCAAAGGTAACCCTCGGATATGTGGAGGTAGTTCACTTATTGTGTTCCAAGGTAGAGACCCCATCTGACGAAATTTGGAAAGAGTTTATTTCAGGCTGAGGAAAATCGCCCTGAGTGTGGTAAATGAACAATTTAAACAAACCATATTTCTACGTGCGCAAGATAAAAGGGCCTTTCCGCCTGCAAGCCAAGCCTACACCCAACCGTACCATCGCATCCATAATCTGTAAGATTAGCTGGATTGCTTGGAACTCCGTAATAAACCGTGCATTAAAATGTACAAGTTGCTACATTCTGTTACTTGTGTAACCCCTTTGTGTTTCACTGTTTCTACCAAGAGGCATGTCATCGTGGAAACCAGTCGTGGGTTGTGGGGAAGAGGTGAGGGCCAGATTTTTGCACAGGCTTCTGCTGTCTTCTAGAAGCTTCTCATTATTTTCGGGTGATTGGACAGTGTTCAAAAGGCTGAGACAAACTTTGGAGGGCCAAAGAGCCAGGAGAGTACTGAAAGCTCCACTTCCGCTTCCACCCCGTGCAGTGAAAAGTCCGTGAAGACACATGCGGGAAGTACGTAAGAGTCACTGAAACGAAGCTACGTCTCAGGACAAATTTTGTGTCTCATTTTGGACAGACCGGCTGGACCGCCGTAGAAACACTGACCCGCTTGGAACGCTTGTTTATCCTACCGTAGATGACAGAATTTGAAATGTCAACTGTCTTGGGATGGCTGTATGTCATAATCACTGACCCAAATCGACAGTAATAGCAGTATAGAAAACGAATGCACGAAGGCGCGAAAGGAATAGCACGTACAGTTTTGAAAGATGCGAAGAAGGCGCGCATCATGCAGGTGATCCAACCACTACAGAGCTATACGAGATGAGGAATTTGACGTTCCATTTTGTGCAACAGTGAGTGCCAAACCATCGCACATGCAGGCATTATGTTATTAGGTCAATAGACCAGGGCTAGACCAGGCCAATGGCCACTTTCTCCTAGATATCGGACTATGTCAGCTTTATATGCCGATATCTACAAAGTCATCCCACTGAACAGAATGGCACACAGACATACTCCTTGTTTAATTGTGAACATGTTGATACGTAGCTGTGTCGGGTGTGGACATATTTGTATGGCGTATGGCTCACGGGTAAGTTAAAGATTTCGTCAAAGGGAAGGAGCCACGCTTTACTGCGGGGCCTCCCGCAGCTTGATGCCCCCCTCCTACCCCCACCTCACTGGGTGGTGTACCCAACACTACCCATCGCTGCCCGCCTACTGCCCAATGAAGGACCCCTGCGTTTCGCCACCACTCATCGCCGCCGTCCGCCGCAGGCACCGGATGTGGGTACTGCCCGCCGCTGCCCGCCTGGAGCCCGCCGCTGGAGGCCAGGCCGCCGATCAAAGGACAGCAGTACTACGCGGCCAGCGGACAGTACGGCTACGGCTTCCCGGGCTATTCCACCTCCAGTCTGGAGAACCTGACCAAGCTGGGCCACCTGGTCGGCCTCTGCGGCGTGGCCACCGTCGGGTCCATGGGCAACATCTACACCATCTCGTCCTGTATCGTCGGCGATAGACTCAGGAAAAAAGGTACTGCCCAAGGCATTGCGCTGCGCAGTGTGGTCGTGTGGCCCAAACAACGCAGAGACGCGCGTCCGAAACAGTGAAGTCTGTGCCTAAGCCTTGCATTTACACTGTCCAAAGCCCGCCTATCTTAAAGGTAAGCATTTTGATCAGGCCCGTAGCCAGACGGAGATTTCAGAGGGTGCACAAGTGAGCAACAAAAAGGCACACGTTTTGTGTAAATACTGCCCATTTTTCCGCGCTGGAATGATGATATGTACAGCTTAACTAGCACCGCTATAAATATTTGTTGGGACCCCAAGAAGCTGGGCCGGTTGAGGCTTTCCTCTCAGATATATAGTTTTAGATATAAAGTTTTAACAAAAAGGAGTAAAAACATCAGTACCAATGTCTTGTTTTACGAATGCTGCCTGGCACATTCTAGACGCAGTTGTTTTAGGGAAACAATATGCCAAAACAATGAACAGGCCAAGTGATCACGGGAAAAAGTATGTAAGTTCGTTTTTGGGGCCACGTTGTTGGTAGAGTGAAAGGAACAACCTTAAGTTACTTCAGACACATTCGCTTCTGGCTAACGCATGCAGGTCATTTCAGCCAATGGCTTCGTGTTATTAAAACGTCAAGCTGAATCCGAAGCCAGCAGTTTCAAACTTTGTGCGGACGAAGCGCCCTTCAAGGTCAGAATCAGACTCAAATGACGGGAACCCCACATCGCCCAAAAGATTTGGACGGTTCGAATTTAAAAGCATCAGAATGCTTGCTAATGCATGAACTGGCATCCGTCATGAAATTCAGTCTGTCAAGGTCATCTTTCAAGGACAAAATTCAGGCTCGACGGAAAGAGAACTCCTTACCCTCCAAATGAAAACGGCCGATTTCGGATTTTTAAGCATCTAAATATACCATAGGTCGTGAACCAGCGTCCGTCAAGAAAGTCCATCTCCGCAAGGTCACACGTCGGGGTCAAACTCACGCTCAAATGCCGGTAAGCTCCAAATTGCCCAAAAGCTTTTGTCCAAATTGCAGACTCTTAAGCATCAGAATGTTCTGAACTAGCCGGTGTCGACAATTTGTGACCTCTTCGACTGGAAAGGAGCGAAACGCATCATCCAATGGCATGCAATGTAATTGTGCAAGCCGTTACTATTGCTATTTAAGTGCTCTCTTCTGATTGGTCTATGTGAAGCCCTATTTGTTCTGGACCACCGCCCACTTAATATTTCGTGATGGTGTTTAAGATTGTTTAGTTAATTTTATGACGTTGATAGGGCCGTTTAATGCTGGTCTGAGACGACGAAGAAATTTTAAGATTTTTTCCTCATTTTGCTTTAACAGCTGGGGACTTGTCAATGCTTTGATGTTTCCCCCCTTTAAGTCTTCCTTGAAATGCTGGTGATGCCATTTCGCGTGGATAGTGTGTCAGGTTTCATCTCGTCTCCATTTTGGCCGGTTTCCTGGGATTTCGCCTTTCCGCACTATCGACGGCGACGCCGTCCTCGCCGTACCAGAAAGGCATCTCACACTGGAAAATACAAACCTGTCACTGCGCATGTGTCGGGAAGTGTGACTCACGCCGGGACGCCGAAAAAAATCCGCAGTACGCCGGTCATTTTTGGGTGATATGAAGTTCTCCGTTTTTAAATCTTGAATTTGACCTCGAAAGCCACATGGCATTGAGAAATAAACGCAAGATAGGTAGATCTCCTGCCTAATTGACCACCTCACGAGTTTTCAGCAAAACCGGAACTGGTCGCTGAAAAAGGCTGCCAAAAGTCATCCTTGCGCTGTCTTGCCTTGCGCATCCTTTTTATAATGCACGCTGATGGCGGCGGTCTTTCCCTGATCATTTCAAACCAAGATCGATTAGTACTCGCGGAAAGACCAGTAGATTTATCTAAAAAATATCCTAACCAGCAATAAATTTGATGTGGCTAGATAAACGATTGACCTGACAAGGCTAGGTCAAATGTCAAGTGTTCCTGGAAATATAACCATTTTACCCTGACATGCCCTTATTTTGGAAAGCACTCTATGCAGCAACATAAACTTTAACTGACGTGTTTCGTGTTTTATCATGAACACAGTGACATATGGTATGGTGTCTTTCGGGGGTATGGTGTAGACTTTATTAACCGAAGTGTTCCGCATTCGTATGGGGTTTCGAGCAGAAATAGCTATTTTGAAGACCATTCAGTGGAGTTAACGGTCCTGCCATTTCAAAGTCTTAAAGCCATCTGGTTTCTGAGCTAGACGCTCGCTAGACGCTTGCGAACGCTCTGAGCCAGACTCCGCATACGCGAGCTAGACGCTCGCGTATGCGGCCTATTTCGTGCAGACTACTCCAAATGTCACCCATGAGTGCATGACACACAGCGACGCCACGCGAATACTGCCATCCAATCTCCCTTGCGGTGCCTAAGGTCAAGATAAATGTAATCGTCCAGTGTTTTGTGCTTGGCGTAGATCACCACGATTTCTGGCATCAACGGAATGCAGTTGGCTATAAAGCAATGTCATGCATGTAGTAGTATTATGTAGTGTAAGTTTCGGGCCCGAATTACATTTTGTGCTACATGGTACAGGAGGTTGGGCAGTGGTGCTAGTTATGACAAGCATGATAAGGAAAATCGAATGGCTTAAGAATAACGCCAAAGCCGAGCATGCGAATGCAGATATACCATATACAACAGCGGATTGATATGCAAGAATGCCATAAGAAAAGAACATCACACTCTCACGTAGCGATATTTGGGCTCTGCCAACACAACGCCTGGCGAGATCAAAAGTACTACGAGTGAGTCAGTTCGTTGGTTACAAGAGGAATTTCGTACCACCAGTTTGGCAGCCACTCTGACATCTTACAAAAAGTCCCTGACGAAATCAAACGATGGCGTATTGAGGAACACTTTTACTTAGTAATCATTTTTTGTACATATCACTGCTTTCCTCTTAAAAGCATATCAATAGTAATAAATGATCTTATTTAGTTTTTACCTGATGTTTGTTCCAATAGCTCCAAATATGGAACATTTTTTAAAGAAATGTTTCACATCTGGAGATATTGAAGCAGGCATCAGATGTGGTCAAATAAGCTCACTCATAACTATTCCTATACATTAAAGTCGAAAAGACTGCTCCAGGCAGCACCTCTATTCAATAGACATGCTGCTCAAAATGTTATTGCCTTATTGCGTCATGGAGCATTTGTATGACGTTGAGGTGATGCCAAACTAGCTGTGCAGAATTGCCACCCAGAACTCACTTGTAGTACTTCAAAGTCGTTGGTAGATGGCAGTGGTAACACTGAACGTGTTCGCTGAGCCAAATATTCCAATGTTCTTGTGCTTTGGTCCTTTCTCGTGGTGTTCTTGCATAGTGATCAGTGAGTTTAAAATGTTTACTGCTGTCCAAATACTTGAATATAGCGCTATTCTTAAATCATTCGATAACAAGTCTTTCTTCTGTAATACTTGTAAGACTTAATATGGCTTAATAAGACTTAATAATAATAATAAGAAGAATAACGTTAATATGGCACCGTGCATGCCTTAAAGGCCTTGAAACAGATGGCATGAAATAGTCTGCACATCTTTCTGGGCGCATAGCTTAGAAACTAGCGGCCTTAGGTCTTAGAAGAGCAGGACTGTGAACTGCACTCAAAGATTTGCATGATGGCGTTTTCGGTCAAAAGCCATACAAGCATGTGAGACAATTGATGTTAAAGTGCCGGCGTTGCCACGCGCGATTGGCGGATTTGTCGGTTGCTACCCTTTGCACGCGCCTACCGTGAATTGCCCTGCAGCCTAATAGAACTGCCGCTTTTCAGAAACCAGGACAGCTGGGATCACGTTTTTGGTATCAAAGCGTGTAAGATGAGTGCTCCAAAGGCTACCGCAAATTTGGACGCGATGCACGACATCACAGAGGAATACCATCAGAAAACTTTGAATGGAGAGGGGTCGCATCGCGCCCTATCTCCATATCAGATCATGGATTGAACTGTTACGCGTCATTTCCCTGTTTGGGTAATGTCCATTGTTTTTTTCCGGTAGGCAACATTTTCATTGTGAACCTGTCGTTGGCGATGCTGCTGGTGACTCTGCTGGTTCTTCCCTCCATTGCCATCCACATGCTGGCTGGCGCGGACGTCTCAGAACAGGTAATCTTCAAGCCTAGCCGAACCCCGACTGCCTAGCAAATGAGGAGTGCTGTGTGTAGTGTAGTGTAGTGTAGTGTACTGTAGTATTCTGGGTGTTCGTTACGCCATGTATTCCACTCCTCCTCGTATGTCCTCGTCAGAGGCTGTGTGGGAAGTTCTCATGAGTCCGTCGGGACGCAGTGCTATGCGACACGAACATCTACGTCGAACGTCGGCTGATGGGCCTCCCTGCCGCCAGGCGCGCCGGCTGCACGAGCTTGTGACGCAGCTGTGCGGTTGCGTCAGCCTCTTCACGCTCTGGGCCGTGGCGCTGGAGAATTACATCCGCGTGTGCCATCGGCGAGCGTACCGTCGCCTGCTGAGCCAGACCACCGTGACGGTCGGCCTGGTGCTGGCCTGGGCGCTGGGGGGCGGCGCGCTCGCCATGCTGATGCTGGCCGAGTCGGGCGTGGCGCACAGCCGCACGCACGCCGCCCTGCTGGCCGGCGTGATCGGCGCCGCCTCGCTCGGCACCGGTGGCGTCTACCTGCTGGCGTGGCGACGCGTGCGCCACCTGCGCCGCTGCACGTGCCACCCGCACGGCCGCGGCCGCCCACTGCCCTGGGACGTGCAGCTGGTGCGCGCCAACGCCGCCGTCTGGCTGAGCTTCTGCGCCGCCTGGCTGCCGGTGGCCGGCGCCAGACTGCTGGCCGCCGGGCTGGCGCCGGGCGGGCGTCAGGAGTCCCCGCCAGCCCAGAGGCTCGCGTGGCTGCCGCTGGCGCACGCCGCCGCTTTCAACGTGCTGTACGTGCTGCTGAACGAGGACTTTCGCGAGTCGTATGTCAACCTGGCGCAGTACTGCTGCTGCAAGATGTCGGTGCACTTCGGCAAGCGGCCGCGCTCGGACCTGCCGCGACCGCTGCTCGTCGAGACGCGCAAGAGCTCGATGCGTGTCCACCTGATGGCCGGCTACGACATGCGGCCGGCCGGCGCCGAGTCGGCCTGCGGGCAGGGCGCCGTGCGCCACTCCCTGGTCACCCGCAGCGGCAGCGTGTCCGGCGCCAGGACCATCATGCTGTGATCCCGCTGGCGCGGCGTCAGCGGGCTTCTGGCGGGGATCGGGGCCGTCTGACTGTCTAGGCTGCTGATCTCATCTGATCTGGCTGCTGATAGGCTGCTGATCTCGCATGGCTGACCGGGTGATTGGAAGGCTACGCAGCTGAGCTTGCTTGTCAATCAGTCACAGTGGCTACCAGGAAGGCACCAGGCTATGAATCAACCAGGCTTTGGTCATCTTACATCTTACAAGACGCTGAAAGCTGATGATGCCTGAAGTCTTCGAACGCACATCAGGCTTAAGGGGCGTGTTCACAAGACCGTGAGACGGTGAACCAATGTCAGGAGCTCGGGTGAAGATCACGAAGTCGCGGTCGCACACCCTTCTGCCTAAACATCATCAAGCTCGCGCGCAGAACTACTGCATTTCAAGGTCAACGATATAAGATTGCCAATGCTGCAGTTCAAGAACTGCACACGCTGGAAATTCTGATGAAACAATGTGCAAATACGAAACGAATAGTTCGTGAAAACGTGTCTTGTGTGAAATGTACTTGCCCTGTGTATTGTATGTATATTGTATCATCTACCATTAGACGGTACTGAAATGTCAACAGACAGGATCAATGGTCGCCGTCTCGTCGTTGTCTGGAGATCTTAGCATGTTGTTGAGTATGTTTTGTCGGAGGGTATGGCTACGCATGCAGCCACGTCGTAGATATTGGGCGATAAAAATCAGGATATTTTGGATAGCGTATCAAACATTATCGTGAGGGAAGGTGTGAATATCAGGAAAAAGGCACAAAAGAACGTACGGACCAACCACGGACCACAGATAATATGCTGGCTATGGTGTTGTAGCCGCACTAACTCCCAATAAATGTTCATACGTTGGCTAGGTATGAACAAGCGGGCAAAGCTAAAACCCCAACGCAATCACGGATGGATGTATCGGTAAACGTTATTTCTACGCCGCTTGCGGCACTGCACTGCAATGCACTGTAATGCACTGTACATTTCTGGCGCGAGTGGTATTTAGATTTAAGTGTGCAAGAGCCACGACGAAAGCTTCAAGTATTTATAACGATGTCTGCACATTTGTGACATAAACTCAGACGTTTGCTTGGTGCGTTTAGTGAACGTGTGTCATTATTCACCCGTAAACCGACAAAAACTAAGTCCGTCTTACCCCGCCCCGCTTACCTCGGCCTCCTTGCACGGCTCTCCGTGCGGTGTCTGTCGACAGAGGCGTGGCCCTTTCACACTGTACGTATAACAAGGGTCCCCGCTGTCGCCAGTAGCGCTGCTTCAGAGCGGGCCCGACGCGACCCGCAGGAAGACTGATGTCCTTGACGCTAGCGACGCATTCGTCTTGAAGGGCAAAAGCAACGAGGTTTATTTCTACCCCGCCAATCCTCGCATCGCACAGCATCGCACAGCTGTTTCTACCGCAGGATATGAGCCTGTCGGCGCAGATCGCTTGGCTGCTGTGAGCAAGCACGATGTTAAGACGAGACAATTATTTTGGAGCGTGCTGACTGTTGTGTCTGAAGTTTAAGAAATGTGTTGTGTAGGTGGGCGCGACTATGTCATGTTACGTGTGTATGTTATATTCTACTATTGTTAACGAATATGTGTTGGTAAGATTTGGCAAGCTTCCTGTCACGTCTTTTGTCCAATAGAGATGTTCTGGTGGACATGAGCACGTAGTTTTACCCCATGTCAAAGTCACGGTCTGCTGCGCAGGCGAGGTCAGATGTCATGTCGGGTCTTCTGCGGTCTGCTGCCGGCCAACGTGTGACATTTGACACCGGGCTTGCTTCAACATCATTGAGCAATGGCTATAACTCAGCTTAAGCTTTTTTTTATTATTATTTATTTCTTTAGTTCTTTTCAATTATTTTCATCTTGAAATTACGACCAAGTAGGACATCCATAAATTGAGCACATTGCATACGGCTCTCGTCATTGATTGTGCAGAAAACCAGTATTTGAGGTGATCGCGCGCTGGCCTAAATAAGACATGGTCGATCCCACAACCATTGTTCAAAGACTGTTGACAAAGACTGCATGCTGTTCGCTTTACACATCGGTTTGCTAATTTTTATACTCAGGCATGTGCCAAGATAAAAATCCCTGGATTCCATCCCCACCATCTGGATTTGGGATCTACTGGAAGCCTGGGTGTTTTTTTAATGTTGTTGATATATTCCCTGGGAATCCCATATCTTTTTAAATCCCTTTTTCCGAGTTTCTCCTGACATCTTAGTTTTCTTAGGTTAGTTTCCAAATGGCTCTACGGGATCCTTTATTTTTGATAATATTGCAGAGAGATATTCTCAGAGCTTGGGTTCATGGAGTGTCATTTTCTAAAATCGGTTAGCGCCTGATCCGATAAAGCTGACTTGCCATGTCCTTCAAAACCTGATTTCTCCCGTATTTCGGCCACTTTGATTTGCTTACCCGTCAAAAATAGCTGTTTTACTTTTTAAAACCTTAAACTCTTACCATGAAAAAATATGAAAAAATTAGCAAAATTAGTCGATTCCAGCATTGTTTCTCTGATAAAGAACGACCTCCCATTTCAAGCTGATGTTGGCTGAATTTTGTGACAACCTTAGAATAGGGTTAAATTCACATAATATAAATAATGTACAACGGCTAGTTGTGATCAAAGAAAATAGGTGTCCAAGCAGAATGGCGAGCCTTAATACGCACAGATGTGAGCTCACGGACAACTTTTCGTGTATACTGTCAGGATGTATGAACCATTATGCAGAAGTGAAACTGATCTCGCAAGAACTTTTCAGAAGACATGTGAATATCTAAGAGAACCGAGGACGTAAATACCGGTTTTTTAAATAAAAGAGCGGGTCACCAGAGTGCCTGTGTCGCAAAAAATACCGCGACCGACGCTTTGACACGCGTTAGAAGATGGTATGAGCAAGAAAAGCCTTCAACCTTTGGTGTTTTGGTTTTATGAGATGGGAGTTCTCATGATGAAAATAACTGGCCTTCAGTTTCCGAGGATGCAGCTGCTAAGAGACGCCATGAAGAAAGCATTGGCTCTTTTAAGCGAAGTTTGCTAAGTTTCTCATGCGAAGTTTGGGAGCTGCCCCACGATAGATTTTTTCGGAAAAGCGACCTTCTTGGCTATAACATTTCTTTCACCCTGGAGCACACGGCACAAAAGATTTTTTTCCATTACTGGACACCCTTTTTGTGATATGACCAGGTGAAAGATATCCCGCCGAACTGTACTTTAAGCCATCCCGTCTCGAATTGTACTTTGACGCCACGATAGTGCAGTTGGTTAGAGCCCCTGCCTTCCCATACACCCACTCACCCATTATCCACTCACCTATTATCACCCACTGACACGGCAGACCACAAAACTATTGTATGGTTGGCTGCAAAACAAGTAGAACAATCTCAAGGTTATTGCTTTGTACGGCCTTTGAAGGACTCATCTATTATAAATTTTGGCAGATGGATTTGCTGCCAGGACTGGCGAGGTATAATAGCAATAAATGATATAGACCAGGCCGCTGCTCGACTGGAACTGCTACTTCAAAATGCTTGTGAGGAGCGCTTCCCTGAGATTAAACACATTTGCAAGACAAGTGAGCCGCAGTGGATAACAAAGCGCCTCAAAGAACTGATAAACAAACGCAATAGGGCGCACAGTCGTCATCAAATGGACAGGCTACAAAATCTTAGAGCCAAGGTAAGCCTAGAGATTTCAGCTGCAAAAGCGGCATGATGCAGGAAACGAATTCAAAGAATTGCTTCTGACCGAAGAGGGTGTTGGTACAGACAAGTAGCCAGCTTAATCAACCGAAAACCAAAAACACGGAGCCTTGATCTAGCGGAAGCCAATGACAACCGAACGCAGTATGTAGACGACCTTACCATATACCAGGCGTGTCGAACTGACCAAGTAGATCGTCACTGCCAATTGCAAGAGACCAGTAAGATAAGCGATTGGGCAACGGCAAACAAACTGATATTGAACACTGACAAATGTCAAGCCATGCATTTTTTCACAGCCAAAAAAAAAAACACTAGCACTGCCGGACATCATGATTCAAGGAAAAAGCATGCCAACTGCCATCAAAACTAAGCTTTTGGGTGCAACGATATCGAATCAAATGTCACGACAAGCACATGTGGATGAGATGGTAACCAAAGCATCGAAAGCTAAATATATGCTCTACATAATGAAGAAGTACCATCCACCACAGGAACAGCTTGTTCGTGCGTATGTTACTTACATCCGGCATTGCTAGAATATTGTACACCGGTTTTTCATGCGAGACTCACTGCCAAGTAGGCGCACACCTTGAGAAAGTGCAGAAGAGAGCCTTGAAAATCATACTCGGCCATTCGGAAAAGTACTCACACATCCTGCAACGCTCGGGCATGGAAACCCTTGCTCTTCCTCTCTCTCTCTCTCTCTCTCTCTCTCTCTCTCTCTCTCTCTCTCTCTCTCTCTCTCTCTCTCTCTCTCTCTCTCTCTCTCTCTCTCTCTCTCTCTCTCTCTCTCTCTCTCTCTCTCTCTCTCTCTCTCTCTCTCTCTCTCTCTCTCTCTCTCTCTCTCTCTCTCTCTCTCTCTCTCTCTCTCTCTCTCTCTCTCTCTCTCTCTCTCTCTCTCTCTCTCTCTCTCTCTCTCTCTCTTCTCTCTCTCTCTCTCTCTCTCTCTCTCTCTCTTCTCTCTCTCTCTCTCTCTCTCTCTCTCTCTCTCTCTCTCTCTCTCTCTCTCTCTCTCTCTCTCTCTCTCCTCTCTCTCTCTCTCTCTCTCTCTCTCTCTCTCTCTCTCTCTCTCTCCTCTCTCTCTCTCTCTCTCTCTCTCTCTCTCTCTCTCTCTCTCTCTCTCTCTCTCTCTCTCTCTCTCTCTCTCTCTCTCTCTCTCTCTCTCTCTCTCTCTCTCCTCTCTCTCTCTCTCTCTCTCTCTCTTCTCCTCTCTCTCTCTCTCTCTCTCTCTCTCTCCTCTTCTCTCTCTCTCTCTCTCTCTCTCTCTCTCTC